AGAAGAGATAGAAAAACTACAAAACAGATGTATGAAAGATGCTGGTTTTCGTAAACATTATGTTGTGTTAATTTAAAGATGTGTAGTGTGTTGTTTTTTTGTGTGTGTTTTGTATAACGCGCAATATCTGGAGACACTGGTAGTGTCTCAACGCTAAGCTGCGCGAAGCGACACTGCCGTGCCTCCTTTACGCGAACTGACGAGTTGCGGCAGATCGAGATTATCGGATCTCAATAACGGCTGAACCGATCGCGTTCTATGTATGCTCAATCGATAGCCACCACACGGATTGTATAATAAAAATGCTTTTATTTTTTTTCTACGTGCCCTACGAGCGGAGATATCGCGACGCAAAGTTCCGAACTGCTACTTTTCAGATCATCAGATTCAGATACGTTATTATTACCCTAGCAATGACATTGGTGATGATTGTGCTCCGGTGCATCGACGACCTTTTATTATGATTTATACGGTAATATAAATTATATACAAACTTACCTTTTTAAAAAAAAGGTAAAAAAAGCACTAAGCGTTGGTGAAACTGGCCCAAATGGTGCTTCTCGTAATGAATCACCATTTGGACCAGCTTTACCAACGTCAATTACTTAATCGGCCGAGAAACTGATAACTAATCACATTTGCTGTTTAATAGAACTAATGATATGTATCATTTGTATAAAAGATTTGATATCAACAACTGGCGCCAAGTTAAATTTTACCATTTTAATCCTCCCAAAGAAAAAATATAATAGTAACTTTAATGTTTTCTTAATTTTTATTTAACTCTAATGATATGTATTATTCGTATGAAATATTTGATATCAACAAAATTGGCGCCAAGCTAAATCATCAAAATTTTATCAAAATTTTAAGTATTATTCATAAAAAAGATTTGATATCAACAATTGGCGCCAAGTTAAATTCCATGTAATTCGAATACCAAATTAAATAAATAATATTAACTTTAATGATATGTATCATTTCTATAAAAGATTTGATATCAAGAA